GATGAAGCAAATGACACTTGTGGTCACAGTTCCAGCTAGGTCCATTGTCCCATTTTCAAGGCCTGGGTCAAGAAGACTAATGGTGGCCCACAGATATTTTAAAGTTATACATCAAGTTAACAGACTGTTCAATAAATTATATTCTAACTCTCTACCTTGACATGTGTGCCTTTAAGACAATCTGGGAGGCCAAATTCACACGTAGGTTTCTCTGCTTCCTTGGAGTTACCCATCAGAATAACACTGTGGTGTGGACAGACAGCTCATCTCACCTTGACACCAGACACTGCGCCCCCCCCACCCCCCCACATCCCTGCTGCTTTCCTACTGCCAGATCCTTTCTGTACCACAAGAGACTGCACATATGTACAAGGACACCCAACCTCATGTCCTAGTTCCATCCTCATCCCCTGCAAACAGCTGTCCTTTAGCTGCCCCAAAGGCCTGAGGTTGTAATCAGGAAAACAGGCCCAGGAAAGAGGCTGGCATGGCCTGGGAGCTAGCTGGCAAGCATCTGGGCAGGGTCCTCCCAAGTCACTGGAATGGGGAGTGTGATCTTGATTCACCAGTGCCTCAGCTCAGCCTTGCTCCCTCCCTCCCAAAGGGGAGCCTTTGAAAGCACCCAGCCTAGGGCATGGATACCCTCTCTCTTGCCCAAGTTTAAGGGAAGCCAAACTTTCCTGGCAGCCTTGAGAACTTGGGCCAGGCTGAGCTCAGTCTCTTTATTACAGAGCTGCCTGGACAATCCCCAGATTTGGACTTTCAGTCCCTTGTATTATTTATCTTCGAGAACAAAATTCAGTGTAATGCAGCTGGATCTCAACTCGTAGATCTCTGGAGGTGGGGAGAGCAGGGAGGTGGTACCAACAGAGACTTTTTGTCAAGTAAGGTCTCCAGGCCTGAGCTTGTTCCATCTAAACACAATCCCACATGAGCCCCTTGCTGCTTACTGGTTCCGGGTCCTGGCAAGGTACCTCACCCCAACCCTGGAGATAAAAGACAATGTGAACAGGATGTTGAAGCCAGGAGAAGGTGAGGGGGCCCTGGACAACTCAGACACATCTAGAAATCAAGGACCCACAGGAGGCAAAGAAGGGCATGGCTCTCCGGAGACCAGGCTTTAAGAAAGCCTCCACCCCACCCCATCCTACCCCACCCCCTGTGGATGGGCTTTGCTGTCCTATGCAAGGAGATGCTTCTGCTGAGCCCTCACCAGGCACCAGGCACTGTGATAAGCTCTCTACGTGTGTACTCTCAGTTGATCCCTGAGGCTACCCTATGAGGTGTCTTCTATTATTATCCCCATTTTACAGGTGAAAAACTCAGAGATGAAGTAACTTGCTCAAACAGATGTAGGTAATAAGACTCAAGTCTAACTGACCTCAAAGCCCCTCTCTTTCCACTATAGCACAATGCTTCCCTGAAGCAAGAAGCTATCAGGTGAAGCAAAAGGGATGAAGGTCAGGTGTGAGAAAGAACTTCCTGACAGTGATGATTTATGTAGGAGGGGCCCATGGACTAAGGAATCTAGGCAGGCATGGAAACCCCTCTCCTCCAATTGTCACCTGTGTCTGTCCGGAAGGTTATAATGATCTCCGGAGAGCCCTTGGGGTTCCATCTGGAGCCATGTGGCAGCATCTAGGCTCCTGGCTTCTCTGTTCTAGAATATTTTTGGGGGGTTCGGTCGTGGGGCTTGAACTCTGGGTCTGGGCGCTGTCCCTCAGCTCTTCAGCTCAAGGCTAGCGCTCTACCACTTGAGCCGCAGCGCCACTTCCGGCTTTTTGCTTCTGTGGTGCTGAGGAATCGAACCCAGGGCCTCAGGCGTGCGAGGCAAGCGCTCTGCCGCTGAGCCACCTTCCCAGCCCCCCTGGCTTCTCTGTTCTCACCCAAACCATCATCAGAGCCCTCAATGGGGCATCTCGTCCAGGCTCAAAGTATCCTACGCAAGCTGTCAGTCCAGACCTCCTCTTCCAGGAAGCTTTCCTTGAGATCCTGGGAGGCAGGACCTCCTTCCAAAAGCCCCAAAGCCTCCAACCTGGAGTTGAGGGTACACATGCACCCCCGTATCCACAATAAGGCTCACCCCTATGACCACCTCCGACCCCTCACCTGGCTCTGGGACATAGTACAGAAAAGACTTTGCTCAGGTGCTGACATCTGAACAGACTCCCCAACTCCAACCCCCCCCTCCCCCGCATGGGTACTGAGGTGAAGGATGTGGGGTGTCTCTGGGCTCACCCGAAAACCCAGCAGCGGCTCCGCCAAGCAGCGGCTCTTACCTCATTCGTCCCACTGAAGCGCAGGGGTGTGGGTCAGTCCATCGATGCCCTTGGACGGGCTCGGGACGCCCACTCGGGAGCCCCCCCCCCGCCCCTCTCCTCCAGAGGCAGCAGCATGCAAGCCCCGCTGCGCCTGGCCCCATCCCCGCTGCCCTGGCGGCCTCGGGGACCAGCCGGGCGCTCCTAACTTCCTAGGAGTTCCGTGCACCCAACAGATGCCCCGGGTCGGTGAGCCCAGACGGGGGTGGGGGGCCCTCGAGGTCCCTCAGGTGTGGGACGAGTGGCTGGGACAGGTGGAGAGGGCTGCCCTGCCCTCCCGCGGTGCCCTCGTGGTCCTCGGCTCCGGCCGGCCCGCGTCTGGGTCTTACCTGCGGGGCAGAGAGGAGCCCGCCCGCCCGTGGCCACCTGCTCTCGCCTAGTTGGCGGCGCCGGCGTTGGGCTGGAGGGAAGGGGCGGGGCCGGGCCGGGGGCGGGGCGCGAGGGGAGGGGTCGGCCCAGCCCCACCCCGAGCCTTGGCGCAGTGGGGTTGGCTGGAACTTTCAGATGGGGAGTGGGAGGGGAGCATCCCGGCCACTGGGGAGGGCCTGGAGCTCCGGTTTTCCCAGGGCTGAGTTAGGACGCTTGGGTCCTGGGACCCTGATGAAATCCCACCTTTCCTGGGCTGCTTTGTTCAGATCCCTGGAGCCAGAGGCTCCATAGGAAGACCCCCTGGTAAGCAGCAGCAGGCGGAGCACAGGTGGTTCACATCTGTCATCCTAGTTAATCAGGAAGCTGAGATCTGAGGATTTCGGTTCAAAGCCAGCCTAGGCAGAGGTATCCAGGAGACTCTCATCTCCCAAGGAACCATCAAAAAGTCGAAAGTAGAGCTGTGGCTCAAGTGGTAGAGTGTTAGCCTTGAGCCAAAAAAGTTCAGGGTCAGCATCCAGGCTCTGAGTTCAAGCCCCAGGACTGGCACCAAAAATAAATAAAAGCAGCAAGACTAGACACCTCTCCTTTCCCAAGTTCCCCACAGCTGAGGCTCATGGAGGCTGGCCCAGAGGGCACAGCAGGTGGGAGAGGGTTTGCCTAATGTAAAGGCAGTATGTTCCCCATCCAGGGGTCAGCCGTGTACAGATTCAGGCCACTGAAGGGGACCAATGGGTGTCCAGGTCATCTTTATCCTCAGTCCATCTCTCTCCCTGCAGCCCTCCCTCCTCACAATCCCCAACACCAGCTCAGGTCCCTCAGCTGTCACTGTTTAGTCCTGGAATGACAGGCGTCCAGACTCCGTGAGTCCAGCCACATTCAAGGCCATTGAGCTTAGCACCCCATGCCCCGGCCCCCCTCCCGCTGCCCCCAGTCGCTAATTTTATTGACCTGTAAAAGGCACGTTGCTGGCAAGGGAGGGAATAACTCAAGTTGCACTGGGGATGGGATAGGCAGAAGGGGCCCAAAAGGCAGAGATGGGACAAGAGCTAGGAGAAGGACTCCGAGAGCTGGGGCAACTGGACAGAAAGGACTCTGACAAGAGAACTTTACTCTCAGAGCAGACGGGAGCCAAAACAGACTAGAACTGGAATTTCAGCCCTGTCAGAAAAGAAAAAATCATGGGAGAAGAGAGTATACATTATTTCCCAGGTACCCTGAGGCAGGACCAAAGATAAAGCAGAAGGGGAGGAGGTTAGATGGTAGGAAGGACCAGTCATCCTGCTGCCACATCTTTTCTCTAGCCCCCTCCCTTCCTCTTGAAGGTGACTCCTGCCTGCTGGGCCTCTTACTACAGAAATAGCCCTTTCCCTAAAGAATCAACCTAGATCTTGCTTGCTTCTTTCCTATTAAAATGAGAACAAAAAAAAAATTAGGCCTTTCTAATTCTCCTCACTCCCACCCCCTCAAATCCTGTTGCTCAGCCTTACTCCAGGTAAGGCAAGCTCTCTGCAACCGAGCTACATTCCCAGTCCCTCCATTTTTGATCACTGATGCTCTTTCTGAAGCTATGTGTCACTAAAGAGGAATGTTTTAACATTAAAAATTACCACCAAGCAGACCAGTATGGAGTGGGATAGGAGGAAGCAATTTCATTGAGAAAGAGGACACTTCTGAAGATAATAGCCATGTTCAGTTATCTTTATTGTTAAGACAGGGTCTTGTTATATAGCCCAGCCTGGCCTCAAACTTGTGTTCCTCTAGCCTCTACCTCCTGAGTGAGGGGATTACAGGCATACATCACTACTGCAAGGCTTGTGTTCAATATTTTTTTTTCTGGTCCTGGGGCTTGAACTCATTGTTCCTGAGCCTCTTTGTGCTCAAGGCTAGTGCTCTACAACTTGAGCCACAGGGCTACTTCTGGCCTTTTTGGGGTAGTTTATTAGAAATAAAAGTCTCATGGATTTCCTGCCTGGGCTGGCTTTGAGTCGTGATCCTCAGATCTCAGCCTCCTGAGTAGCTAGGATGACAGGTGTGAGCCACTAGTATCTGGTTTCAGGATCTTGATTATTGAACTTTACACTATAATTGTGTATAGATTATTTTCTACCATCTATACCTTAAAATCATTGTTAAAATACCATGTATTTTTTCCATTTTTTTTTTTTTTTTGGTCCAGTTGTGGGGCCTGAACTCTGGGCCTGGCCGCTGTCCCTCAGCTCTTCAGCTCAAGGCTAGCTCTCTACCACTTGAGCCACAGCGCCACTTCCGGCTGTTTTCTTTTTGCTTATGTGGTGCTGAGGAATCGAACCCAGGGCCTCAGGCATGCAAGGCAAGCGCTCTACCACTGAGCTATACTTCCCAGCCTATTTTTTCCATTTTTAATTATTGTTATGCAAAGCCTCACAAACCAGGAATGGCTTTGGCAGGCAAAGGATATTGTGGTTCCTAAGTACAATAGAACAATTCTCCTGCCTCAGTTTCTCTGAGTCCATCCAGTGTGCCTGAAAATATGTGTTTGCACATGTGTATGTAGCAAGGTGCAGGGTAGGGCACAACGAGGGGTGTGGGGCTGAACTGTGACCACTCCTCTTGTTGCTTCCTCATTGTGGGATCCACAGAGCCAGCCCTGGTGTCCGGAGTTCCTCCAGGATGGTGAGTCAGGCAAAGGAGGCCTGGATCCTGGCTCTGTCCAGGAGATGATGGCGGCTGCCATCTGCAGTCCGACCCAGGTACTGCAGTGATGATGTGGTTAATGCAGGGAGAGATCTGATAGGTTCTGGGTACAGTGCTCCACCATGTTAAAGTCAGCCACAGGGAATGGCACCCGGGACCACTTTTTAGCCTGGATCCGTCCGTTAGGGGTCTGTAGCAGCATGCTACGGATTTTAAGAACTGGCAGGTTCACTGATTTATAGATCATTTGCAGACCCCAGGCCTAGGGGTGGGGGACAGAGCAGTCAGTATTTGGGTCTCTGCCCTCAGGCAGGGTTCCTCTCCTCAAGTTGGAATTCTGTGAATACTAGGCCTGCGTCTCCCACCCAAGACTGAATGTTAGCACCTTCATAAAACCATAGGCTCCCTTTAGGAGGGCTGGACACCCTCCAGAAACTGAGGGCACTTGGGGCAGGGTTGGCTGAGGCTCTGGGACCTGGAATATGGTCTTTTACTTACCTCCCCACAGTTCCTGCAGCTAATGGTACCCCCAGGCTTCCAGTCCTTGAAGACTCTATCTATGACCACGGGCTCCTGGGAGACGGTATAGTAGATCCTGGAGGAGAATGGGGGTGGTTATACCCCTTATATGCTCCCTTTACCCCAGACTTCATGCTCTCCCTGTCTCTCCCCAACCCCATTGGCTGGCTGTACTCGAGGGCTGGAGGTCTTCCTGCCTATCAAGAACAACAGTGATCTAAAGCTAGGATATCCTTCCTCTGAGTCTTCAGGAAGTTCTGCCTGTGCGCCTTCCACCCATTCCCTTCTGCCCAAGTCTAGGCCTCAGCATCGCCTTCCTGGATGATTTTTAAGTCTCCTGAGGGCTCTCCCATGACCATCCTTACTCCCAATCTCAAGTCTCATTCCAACAACTGCTCCCCAACAGTCTAAGAATGCACCTCTTCCTTGACGTGCCATTTCTCAGAATGCATCTAAGCCCCCCACCCTGACCCCTTCTTACCTTCTAGGTAAATAAAGGCTGAACTTCCAAGCTCATCTTTCAGCATCCTCTACAGGCTAGTCTGTGTTCTTCCTAAATCTCATCCCTCCCAGCCACTCTGTTCAGACTCCTACTCCTATGGGAATGACCCTATTCACTGTTCTTATCACCTCTGTCTATATTCATCTAATCATTCTTCCACACTCAAACCCAACCATCCTTCCAGACATAGTCCAAATGCTCCCTCCTTGAATAAGTTAATGTGCATAAAGATCCAAGACACTAATGACCTGACATTGAACAGGTGCCTGATGGCTATTTAATGATGATGGAGATGGGGGCAGGGCTACCCTCCAGGATACAAAGGACAGAGATGGCTCAGAAAGGGCCAGCTTGCTCGCTCGCTTAGTTATAAGAGGTTTTACTATGTTGTCCAGGTTGGCCTTGAACTCCTAGGCTCAACTGATTCTCCTACCTCAGCCTTGTACAGGTGCCTACCACCAGAGCTAGCCAGCCTCTTCGTGCCTTCTGAGTAGCAGGACCAGAGATCCAGATTGTGGCTGTTCAGGATCTAGCATCCTGAATGCTAATTCTTGTCCACATAGTAGGATATGGAAGTTGAGTAAGTTTCAGTCTCTCCATTTCCTCATTTGCAAAATGGGAATGGAGATAAAACCTAGCCAAACAGACTGTTGGGAAAAGGCCAAATCAGTGCTTGTTGAAGTACTCTTTGCGTGGGACGCCAGTGGCTCACACCTGTAATCCTAGCTTCTCAGGAGATTGAGACCTGGGGATTGCAGTTTGAAGCCAGCCCAGACAGACCAATCTGTGAGATTTTTATCTCCAATTAACCAGCAAAAAAAGCCGGAAGGAGAGGTATAGCTCAAGTAGCAGAGCACCAGCCTTGAGTAAAAAACACCTAAGCAAGAGTTTGAATCCCTGAGTTCATGCCCCAGTACCGGCACAAAAATAAGTAAATAAAACCTCTTTACCCTCCCACACCTGTGGAGAGATGAGATCTCGCCACCCATCCCACACCTCCCTCATCCTGGCAGCCTTCCCACAGGTCTGACTGTAAGGAAATGCCCACCTCCCAGATTTAATCTCCGCCCTTGATGGGGCAGCGCCTGAGCAGAAGTGAGGCACCTCCCACCTCTGGCCCATGACCATGTAAAAGGGGTCTCCAAGGAGCCAGGTGGCACCATTTTCTCCCTTTCCTCATAAGAACTTGGCCTTGTCAGCTCTGCTGGCAATAAACCTTTTCTTCTACTTGACTTCTGTCCCTGTGGTCTTTTGGGTTACATTCTTTGGGGTTACTTTCTGCCTAGGTTACATTTTTCCTTCACTCACGAGAAGCTGGGGTTCACGTTGACGTGGTGGGTGCCCTCCACCTTCCGCATGTCACTCCCGTGGCCCACAGCCACCATGCAGTTGATGCAGAGTAGTTGCACATGCTCTGGGGAGAACTGCTGCCGCTTACTCTCCCGCTTTGCTGCCTGGACTGCCCGCTTGACCAGGGCTTCCTGCTGCAGGTCCCGGATCTAGAGGGAAGGGGGTGGCTGAAGCCCGGGAAGCTCTTGGGGGTAAAGCGCTCTTAAAGACCTCCTAGCATTTGTACCCAAAGGGATTTGACTTAACCTTTGAGGAATTCTGGCTTTTGTTTTGTTGTTTTTTGAAGCTCTGTGGGAAGCTCTTTTCGGAAGATTTAGAAGATCTTTTGGAAGAGTTCATGCGAAGCTGATTCTTTGAATCTGTCATGGGGGTATGATTAATAACGATTCTGGGCTCACAAATGTAATCCTAGTTACAGAGGAAGGCTGAGATGGGAGGATGGCAGTTCAAGGCCAGCCTTCAACTACTGGTTGAGAATCCCCCATCTCAAACAATAAAAAGCTGGGTGTGGTGGCATGCACCTGTTATCCCAGCTATGTGAAAAGCCTATAAAAGAAAACCTCCATCTGGACTGGCCAGGGGGCAAAGCAAGACCCTATGCAAAAAAATAATTTTAAAAAAGGGCCGGGGGTATGGCTCAAGTGGTACAGCACTTGAGCAAGCATGAAGCCCTTCAGCTGACAATGATGCTGGGACTACAGTAGTGTACAGGACTTCCTGGGACAAGGCTGGATATTGGTGAGCCTGCTGCAGGACTCCTGACCAGAGAGCCTGGTTCTGCATTTACCTTGTGCTTGTAACTTTTGTTTTTCCTGTGCCTGGCTCCAGAAAGTTATCTAGCAATGAAGATAAAAAGAAAGCCTAGGACAAGGCCTGTTCCTGAGACCATCTTGAGACCAGCCGGTGTTTTCCTAGCAATCCCATCTTCTGGTCTCTATCCGTTTCTCTATGGTTCACACCTTTCCCAAGTGAGCCAAAAAGAAACGGGGCCCAAGGGAAGTGTATATGGGCTACAGTCAGAGACCTGCCTGGCCAGCCTCCTTCCGCCCCACCCTTCCCCACAGGCTGTGCCGGCTGCTCACAAACCTTGGCCTGGTACTCAGCCTGGTCCATTCTCTGCACAGCTGCTACTGCCCTCTCCATCAATGTCTCCAGCGCCTCATTGGTCAGCTCCCGCCGCAGCTCTCGACTGCCCTCTGTTGCCACAAATGAGTACACACTCTGACCAGCCCGAGCCTGGGAAGGATGATGGGGACAAGGTCTGAGTGAGGCTGGGGTCCACACAGGGTCCTTCAAGGGCTGGGCTGGGGTGGGGGCGGGATGGTTGGAGTACCTGGACCATGGAGATTTCGTTGGTCAGGAGCCCGTAGCGCACCACTACCTTGCACTGAGCAATATCCAGTCCCTCCTCTGCCACGCTGGTAGCCACCAGGAGGTTCAAGGAGCCTGTCCGGAATTTCTGGATCACTTCTTGCTGATGCCTCTGTTGGGAGGATGCAGAGACGAGAACGAGGCTGGGGTATCTGGACCCATCTACCTCGCAGAGCAGCCCCTCCTGATGCTGCCTTTCACTAGCTTGGCCTATCTCCCTAGAGACCTAGAGTCCCAACTCTGCCTTCAAGTACCTCAGGGATCCTGGCCATCTTCCTAAGTGACCATCCAATCCCTAGCTCCCTTAGGACTCCTAAGAGTCCCTGCCCTTATGCCCTAGGATCTCCTGGCTTGGTTCTTATCCCACAAAGGATCCTAGATACCCGGGCCTCTGCCAGGAGGAACCCCATGATCCACTTCTTTCCTTTCTGCTCCCAAGGACCCCCCAACTGGGGGTGGGGAACTTCAGCACTGAGGACTTCAGTGTTTGTCCCAGATCTCTGCCATCTTGCCTGGAATATTCAATGCTTCTCTCCCCCACGGTTCTTCTGTGTACATTGCTCTGTGCTGAGGATCTTGTCCCTATGGCTCCCTTATCCTTTAGCCCCTGTATCTTTCCCCAAAGCCCACACCTGGGTCATGTGGATGCTCTGGCTGTTGTTGCCAGACCCAATCAGCAGCTGAGCACTGATGTCCACTGTCCGCAGGCCAGGCTGCTGCTGGAGCCAGAGCAGGAGGGAGTGAGCACTCTGACGTGTCTGGGTGAAGATGATGCCCCGGGGATTATCAGGACTCCCAAACTGTTCCAGTAAGATCTGTTCCAGCATCTCCAGTTTTGGGTTCTTGGGGCCCTGAGTTGCCAAGCTGGACAGCATGGTCTTGTGGCCTGAGGAAAGCCCAGAGATAGAAGCTCACACCAAAAGGGCTAGGACTGCAGGATTGTGGTGGGGGAAGGGAAGGACACCTGCTCCTGCTTGTTCCTCTAGGACTGCCCACTCCACAAGCATACTCAAGGACACCTCTGCCATGTCCACTCTCAAGGCCAGACTTGAAATCTGCATAGAATCCTTTGCTTGCAGACAAGCACCGAATTCTGTTTAGCTGCCAGGATGATGGCTGAACTTCTCATGCTGACTAAAGCCAATAGGGCCTTGATCTGACTTGACCTTGGGTTTCTATACTTCAGCTGGCACTGAGGCTTCCGGCCTCAAGTTTCACCCTCTCACTTTTATCCTTCCTTTCCCACTGAAAGTAACCACACCCTCCAGATTTTGGGGGACCACTATGAATATATATATATATACACACACTTTTTTTTTTTTGTCTGTCATAGGGCGCTGTCCCTCAGCTCTTCAGCTCAAGGCTAGTGCACTACCACTTGAGCCACAGCACCACTTCTGGTTTTTTGGTGGTTTATTGGAGATAAGAGTTTCATGGCCTTTCCTGCCCAGGCTGGCTTGAACCATGATCCTCAGATCTCAGCCTCCTGAGTAGCTAGGATTACAGGGATGAGCCACCGGTACTCAGTTATGAAAATTTTGTTTTGTTTTGGTTTTGGTCTGTTGTGGGGTTTGAACTCTGGGCCTGGGCCTGGGCGCTGTCCCTGGGCTCTTCAGCTCAAGGCTAGTGCTCTACCACTTGAGCCACAGTGCCACTTCTGGCTTTTTCTGCTATGTGGTGATGAGGAATTGAACCCAGGGCCTCATGCATGCAAGGCAAGCACTTTACCACTGAGCCACCTTCCCAGCCCCTATAAAAAATATTTTAAGAAGCCGGGTGCTGGTGGCTCACGCCTGTAATACTAGCTACTCAGGAGGCTGAGATCTGAGGATTGCGGTTCAAAGCCAGCCCGGGCAGGAAAAACCGTGAGACTCCTATCTCCAATAAACCACCAGAAAACCGGAAGTGGTGCTGTAGCTCAAGTGGTAGAGCGCTCGCCTTGAGCTGAAGAGCTGAGGGACAGCGGCCAGGCCCAGAGTTCAAGCCCCACAACCGACCAAAAAAAAAAATTTTTAAGAAATCTTTTAAAAATGTATTTGTCAATAACATGCATTAATTTTTTTGTAACTGTGTACACTTTACAAATAAGGAAGTAAATCTGTTAGGCTAGACCAAATGCTATGGCTCAGGAGGCTGAGATCTGAGAATCAAGGTTCAAAGTCATCCCAGGCAGACAAATCCAAGAGACTGTATCACCAATTTACCAGCAAAAAAGCTGTAAGTAGATGTGGCTTGAGTGATAGAGTGCTAGCCCTGAACATAAAGCTAAAGGACAAGCCGGAAGTGGCACTGTGGCTCAAGTGGTAGAGCCCTAGCCTTGAGCTGAAGAGCTGAGGGACAGGGCCCATGACTGACAAATAAACAAATAAATAAGTAAATAAAAGCTAAAGGACAGTGCCCAGACCCTGAGTTCAAGACTCAGTACTGACACACAAAGAAACCTGTATTTACACTCTTGGATTTTGGTTACAAATATGGTCCCAAGAACTCCATTGTTACCTTCTCAGTCCACGTTGGCCCCTATGCCCTGGCTAACTCTGAGGCCTCCTCACCCAGTTCTGAGCCCTGATTTTGCCTCACCATTGAACAGTTCCAGCAGCCAATGCTCAGCATACAGGATCTGGGTTTTAGTGGCACGCTCCCTATTGTAGAAGTCCTGCAGCATGGTCAGAGCGTCCAGGGCACGGACAGTGTCATGGATGAGCAGGGCATCATTGTACCTTCGAAGGTGTAGCGCATACACCCGCCTCTCCTGAAGTCCTGCCTCAGCCGCTGCAGGTGGGATGGGGCGGGGCACAGGGTCAGAACAGGGTGACCCCAGGCTCCACCTGTACATCCAACTCCTGGCAAAACTCTGAGCAGACAGTCTTCAACCCTAATGATTCCTCCTCCATCCAGGCAGCGCCCACCCCTCACCCCCCACCTCCAGAAACCTCACCATCTGCCTAAGCAGTCCCTCTTACCATCCTTGCTCAGCTCTACCACCTGCTGCTCATACATCTGTGTCCCAAAGTCCTGGCCCAACTCAGGCATCCCCAGGCGGTCATGAACTTGTTTCATGAGCTTCTTTATCAAGTCTCCAAATGGGTCCTGGACAAGAGGAGTGGAGGTGGGGGGGGGGGGGAATTTTCATCATATTGGAGGGATGGGGCCTCTATCTGTTGTGTCTGAGAGGTGAGGGCTCCAGAAGGAGGCTAGCTGGGGTATGATGGAGTCCTAGCTAGAGATGGACCTGATTCCCATACCCAGTTCCTGCTGTCTCTTCTATCAGACAAATATAAGTATCACCACGGAAGGAGAGAACTTGATACAGTCCCAGCCTCATGGTTGGCAAAGGACTCACATCATGCCAACTTCTATAACAGAGACCCATAGGTTGTAGACACGAGCTATATCTACCCCTTTCACACAAAAAAAGAGAAATGGAGCCAGGCACTGGTGGCTCACACCTGTAATCCTAGCTACTCAAGAGGCTGAGATCTGAGGATCAGATTTCAAAGCCAGCCCGGGGAAGAAACTCCATGAGACTCTCCAATAAACCACCAGAAAACCAGAAGTGGCGCTGTGGTTCAAGTGGTAGAGCTCTCACTTTGAGCTGAAGAGCTGAGGGACAGCGCCCAGGTCCAGAGTTCAAGCCCCATAATTGACAAAAAAAAAAAGAGAGAGAGAGAGCAATGGAGACTCAGAGGTATAAGCAAGAAGCCTGGAGTCACAGTGAGGGTGGGGCCAGTGTCCAAGCCTAGGTTCCCTCACTCCACACCATGGCCCCAAGCCTCATGCCTGCCCTGTGCCTCTTTCCCATGCATATACCTGGCTGCGCCTCTGGCAGAGGTCATACTGCTTGCAGGGCTTGGGATTGTGCTCCTGTAGCTGAGGGTAGTACTGCTCAGGTGACATGATGCGCCATGTATCCAAGTTGGCACAGAGCTGGGAGCAACAGAGAGAGCTTCACTAGAAAGGGGAGGGGCCTGTGGGGACCCCGGGCAGAACTTTGAGGCAGGATGGCACCTAGCCTGAAACAGGACCAGGGAGGGGAGGGATTCATTTCTTCAAATAGTGAGTCCTGCTTGCCTTCTCCCCAATGTTAGTATTAGAGGCACTAGGGGCACAGAGGGAGTTCCATTGGAGTTGGAGAATAAGAGAATGAGAGCATTTCAAGTAGTATGAATGAGCTCTGAAAAGACTAAAACTGGATGATAGGACAGAGGCAATAAGTAAGGAAGAATGAAAATCTGACATAAAGCTATTTGATGAATGGCAAGAAGTAATCAGATAAGGGAAGTTTAATAGAAAGGGCCTCTTTCTCTCTCTCTTTTCTCTTGCGTTCATCCCCCCACCCCCCTTGGTGGCACTGGGGTTCAAACTCAGGGCCTTATACTTGCTAGGCAGGTGCTGTACTGTTTGGGGGAAGGATTTCAAGCAAAAGGAATGGCAAGTGCAAGGATCTGGAGAAGAGAACCCAGTATGTTCGAGGTAGAGGAAAAGACCAGTGTAGGAATAGTATGAGTAAAAGGGATGGTGTGAGAAACAGGCAGGAGCTAGATTTAAACCAACAAGTGAGCTTAAGTGCCACAAGAAGCTGTTAGGATGCTAGATAGACCTTGGGTGAAAAGACTCCTGATAAGGAGTCAGGGTGCTCTCAAGGGCTGGTGGGGATGGGATAGAGGGAGGCAGTCAGGAAGGTCTCTGGAGGGAATGGTGGCTGGAAGGCCACAGGGGCTAAGCTGACCTGCAGAATGTGGTCAATGGCCCCATCGAGCTTGGAGGCCCCGCCAGTGCCCGGAGAGGCTGTAAGTCCCAGAATCTGGGGTAAGGGCCGAGCCCTCTGTAGTTTATGCTCTAGGTACCGGTTCAGGATGACATTGTAGACTGTTTCCTTGTGTGTGTGGTGACACTCATCCACCACGATCAGGGAGAAGGCTGAGGGAACATAGGGGAAGGCTGTTACCTGTGTTTGCACAGTTTTCCTCCCATTTACTGTGTCCCATATAGTCTCTGTATCCATTTGACAATTTTGTCACACACACACACACACACACAATACACCAATATTAGGGCTAAACTCAGGGCCTCATGCTCTTGCTTGGCTTTTTTACAACTCCACTTTCAGGTAGTTAATTGGAAATAAAGAGTCTCACACACTTAACTGTTCTGGCTGGTTTCGAACCTGGATTCTTAGATCTCAGCTTCCCGAGTGGCTAGGTTTACAGGAATAAGCCACCAGTGCCCAGCCTCATCTGACTTTTTCCCTTCATAATTTGTACCCTGTTTCCACAGGAGTGAGGCAAGGATGACATCGCTCATTTATAGATCAGTAAACAGAGATAAGCTGAAGAAAGGGATTTACCCCAGGATCCTGCCCTGTAGCCAGGCCTATTCTTCATCTATACCTGAGGTATATGCTTTCCCCTGCTCACAACCCTCACCTGTGAGTTCCACATGCTCCTCTACATCAGAACTAGTCAGCGCCATCTGCAGCAGCTCAGCTGTGCAGATGAGCAGGTGGTGGGACCGGACTACATGGCCAAAACCAGCCCGTGGGCCCATGTCCCCACTCAGGGTTGTCATGGTCCAGCGTCCACCCAGCATCCGGCTGAACTCCTCACCATGCTGGGTCACCAGGTGCACCTAGGGTTGGAAGATTAGGGTGAAAAGTCAGGTGAGTTTAGAAGCTGAGTGCTCTGGAGGGACCTACATGATGCCTGAAGAGAGCTGAGACACTGCTGTGGAAAGGGGAGACCACTTACCCTGTTGACCAGTACCACCACCTTGGCTCCATCCACTGTCTCTAAATGCCTCTTGGCCACATACGCGGCTGCCCGGGTCTTGCCGGCGCCCGTGGGCAGCCATATGATGACATTCTTGCCCTCCAGGGCAGGCATGATCACCTCCCATTGGTAGGGGCGCAGCTCCATTCTGGATCAGCAGGGGGCTCAGAACCCCTGGCCACAGTGTAGATTTTCCCTTTGCCCAGGACTCCAACCCACTTGCGGGAGGTAGGACAGGACACACTGCAGACCCCACTGGGAGCCAGAAGTAACAAGCTACTCCTTACCCCCGCCCAGCCGGGGTTTCAGGTCTTGTTTTTCGAAAAGCTCCGTCGGGCAGCTGAGAAAAGGAAACTGAAACTTAGGGGCAGGGCCAGCGAGGGTGGAGCTCAACCCTTTGTAATAAAAGCCCCAGCAAGGGGCAGGGCTACATATCATCCAAAGGTGCATCCTTTGCTCCTGGAACCTCTACCCTAGGTCCCTTTTCTCAGCCAGGTTAAGGTGGAGGTTAAGACCTTGGCTGCCTCTGGTTTCTGGACCGAGAACAGCCTGGAGAAAGGAGGTCTGCAATCAGGCAGGTCTATTTCCCTGGGAGCAAGACAGGACAGCTTGAAGCTTAATGGACTCAAGGTGGCCTCCTGAGTCTGGAACTACAGGGAAGAAACAATCACACAAAGGGAGAGGAAAAAAAAAAAAAAAGAAAGAGCTTTATTGTTCCCTCTGAGGGATTAATGCCAAGGAATGCGTGGTCCCTAAGTCCCCCCTCAGCCCCTGGGAGACAGACCGCCAGAACAGTGCAGGGTGAGCCTCGACCTCTCCAGACGGGCTACGCTTCCAGCCCCAGAAGCCCGCGCCGAAGCTACAAGCAGCAGTCCCAGCCCTTGGGGAGTCAGGCACCTGGGCCCGGCCAGGCGCCATAGTTCCTTGAGGACCCGGACTGGGGGCCGCCAGGGCCCGGCAGTTCATCCTCGGGCCAGCCACGGGGGCTGGGCTGGGACCGGGAGGTGTCCTCCCCGAGGTGGGACACAAGGGACGGAGCTTCGGGCCTGGAGGTGTCTGCGGGCCGGGGAGGTCTGGAGCGGCGGCGCTGGAGGTGGGTGGGAGCCGGGAGGCCGGCCCCGTCCTCGAGGCTGGCGGGGCCGCTGCGGAGGCCGGGCCCCCTCCTCCAGGCCGGGGGGGGGGGTGGCTACTTGTCGATGAGCCCCCCCTCCTTGAGCTTGAAGTAGAAGAACTTCTCCAGCGCGCTGGCGCAGCGGCAGTACTCGCTGTCGGGCGGGTTGTACTCGCGGCAGTTTGCAATGACCCGCTGCAGGTCGGCCACGAAGAGCTTCCGGGTCACGTAGTAGCGACTGCGCAGGCGCTCGGTCATGGTCTTCAGGTCTGGGGAGGGGGGGGGGGGGGGACAGTGTTAGGGTGGAGGACATGGCCCAGGAATGGCAGGCAGGGGCCGTGGGTGGGAGGCGTGGGGGGGGAGTGGGAGGGGGGGACCCCGGCTTTAAGAGTGGGGGGACGGCCGGGTCCTCGGGTGGTGTGGCCCAGCAAGAAAGAGAAAAATGGAGGTCCTCACCGATGGGGAAGCGGATGACGTCGTAGTAATCAGGGGCCTCTGCCTTCTTCACGGGCTCCATGAAGGGCCAGGCGCTAGGGTGTGACTAGAGAGGGAAGTTGAGCTGGGGGCAAGGCCCATACCCAGCCGGCGGGCGCCACCACCCCAGAATGGGTCATAAAGCCACAACTGTTATAAAAGGATTCCCCTCCTCCCCACCACCCCCGGGGGAAACGTGGGCTCCTCACCTTGATCTGGGCCAGTAGGTTTTTGAGGGTTGTGTACAGCTGGTCTGGGTCCTTCAGTTCCTTGCTGGGATGAGAGATGCCAGGTAAGTGTGAGGCTCTGGGTTCTTGTGCCCCACCCCCCACCCCCACCCCCCTACAGAAACTCACCCCTTCTCTTTCCCCAAGGGCTTCCAGCCAGTTTCTCCTGAAAAGGGGGAATGAGAGAACATCCCTAAGAATGCCTGGCCGACCAAGCAACATGCCTTCCTGTCCCCTCGGCAAAACCCTTACTCACGAATGCCGGGGACACTCTCTACAGGGATCTGCCTCACGCCCTCCTTGAAGCAGCTTAGCCCGGGGTAGACCTTGCGGATCTGGGCCTGTTTGCGCTCAATCAACTTCTTGATGATCTGAGGGAAGAAGGGGTTTGAGTTGGCCCACTCCAGCCCCAGCCTCAACTTTCCCAAGGCCACAGGCTGCTCTGCCTCCCTGTCCTAATTTGCCATATAAGGCAGGGTGAGAACCAAGACCCAGCCCATCCTCACCATATGCATGCACACACAAACACACGCACAAAGGAACACACATGAAGTACAGGTCTACACATGTGCTCAGCCTCCATGTGTGCACAAGATAAACCCCCAGAAATGTGCATGCACAACCTCCTTCTGCTTCTTGATGATGTGGGACAGCTCTGTATAGGGGATCCGGGGATTCAGCTCACACTCCATCAGTGTCGCCCCCTCATAGTCCTTGATGTAGCCCAGGTACCGGCTCTTGGGCACCTTGATGTCCTTGGAGAAGCCCTGAGGAGGGGGGATAGAAAAGACAGTCTAGGGGCTGGGAAGGTGGCTCAGTGGTAGAGTGCTTGCCTTGCATGCCTGAGGCCCTGGGTTCGGTTCCTCAGCACCACATAAGCAAAAAGAAAAAAGCTGGAAGTGGCGCTGTGGCTCAAGTGGTAGAGCGCTAGCCTTGAGCGCCCAGGCCCAGAGTTCAGGCCCTACAACCGGACCCCCCCCCCCAAAAAAAAAGACAGTCTGTCAACAAAAATACTCAATTTTCACAGTGCCCCGCAGAGCACCTGAGTGGTGATGTGTGCCACAATCTCTTGCCCTTCCCCCCCCCCCTTTTTTTTTTTTTTGCCAGTACTGGGGCTTGAACTCTGAGCCTGAGCTGTCCCTCAGCTCTTCAGCTTAAGGCTAGGACTCTTCCACTTGAGCCACTGTGCCACTTCCGGCATTTTTTGTGTATGTGGGGCTGCGGAATTGAACCCACGGCCTCATGTGTGCAAGGCAAGCACTACCACTGAGCTAACTTCCCAGCCCCTCTCACCCATTCCTGAACCTCCTTGTGGCACTGTGAGGACTCTGCCTGTCCGTGAGAAGGTTCTAGGTTGGCTGAGCACCCCACCTACTCCTATAAGCTTTCCAAGTCCTCTGGAATGCCCCACTGGGGCCACAGAAGAATGAAGCAAGACAGGAGGAATGACTTCCTCACAGGTGCCAAGTAGAAGAGGGGACATGAAGAGACCCTGGCTTCCTCCCCAGCAGGAGGCTGCAGAGGAGGACCTGTGGGGGAAGGGGAGGCTTACTTGCTTTCTTTTTTCCCCCTTTTGAAAAAAAAAATTCTCTTTAAGTAGTTGCACAAAGGAGTTGCCATTTAACAGAACAGTTTATGAATACATCTTGACCAACATCACCCCTTTCAACATTTTCAAGTATCCTTCCCAACCCCACTCACTTGCTTTTTGAAGTAGCCAATGGCATACTCATCAGCGTAGGTGAGGAAGTAGAGGATGCTGTGTTTGATGTGGTACTCCTTCAGGTGGTTCATCAGGTGAGTGCCATAGCCCTGGCAGGAAGGGTTGGGGCAGATTGGGATAGAGGTGGAAAAAAGTCTGCAGGGACCAAGGGCAGGAAGGAGGAAAGGTGGCTGGCAAAGGGCTTGCTAAACTACAGACCAATTCCCCAGTTAAATCCAAGAGGTATAATCCCCATTTTACACAAGAGGAAACTTAAGAACTCATATTTTAGTTAGGAAACTATGTCAGTTTGCCAGTATCCAAACCCTACATAGCTCATGGATTTGCAGTCCTTGGGCTTTAGACTGAGGGGAAAGAAGTGAGATTGATCATAAAGGTCTGCTCATCACAGCAACTAGCCGCCCAAAAGAATCTCTGCTATAGGGCTGGGCCCTACAGATCTGGTCTGCCTGAAACAGGACAATGAGGTAGCTAGCCTAAGTCTGCTATAACAAAGGATTGAGCCAGGACTATCAGCATAAGGCAACTGTAACAATTATTAATTCCCTAAGGTATAGAAATGTTCTTGAAATGAAGATAGACTCACTTAAAAAGTGTTTGCTTGTGGCTCATACCTATGAGAATCCAACTACTTAGGAGGTGGAGATAAGGGTCACAATTTAAGGTCAGTCTGGGGGAAAAAGACCAGCCAGGTGTTATGGTACACACCTAAGGTCCCAACTACTTAGGAGGCAGTTAGGAGTGTCATGGTCCAAGGTAAACGCTATCTGAAAAAATTGAAAGCAAATGGAAAACAAAGACCGGGAATGTGGTAGACATTTCCTAGCAAGTGCAGAGCCCTGAGTTCAAGTCTCAAATACTGAAGAAGAAAAAAATAGTGCTGATGGCTGAAGGCAGAGGTATAGCACTGTCTACCATGTACAAGGTCCTGGGTTCTAGCGCCAGTACATGCATATGTGAGCATGTGTGCATACGTGTGCACACACGCATGCTTGCACACACCCACACGCACGGGCACACCTACACACGTGCGTGTGCGCGCACATGCACACACATGCATGGTGCTCATGCTGCCAGCTATTGGGCCTCAATTCTTTAAAGTGCAGTTCCCAAGCTGCAGCTGCCACTGTGTGGGGACATGAGGAACTGCAGGGAGGACAGGGACGACTGGTAACACACTCATCCTGCTGCTCTGACCTGGTTCGAAATCAAACAGTTGGAGGGATGGGGTCAGTCAGGGTCAGGGCACTCAGCTCACCTTGACCTGCTCATTTGAGGTGACAGCACAAAAGACAATTTCCGTGAAGCCTTGAGTGGGAAACATGCGGAAGCAGATCCCACCGATGACCCGCCCATCCTTGATCAAGGCCAGAGTCTTGTGCTTCCTAAGATAGAGAGGGTATGTCAGCCCTTACTTGTCCCCCACTACTCCCAGGTCCAGCTCTAGTCAGTGATGGGAACTGAGAAGCAAAACTCTTTGAAAGTTGGGCCTTGGAACAGGAAGGAAGGTGTCCCCAACCATGAGGGTAAGAAGTCCCTATGGGTCATGTGCGAGGGGCTGAGGCTCCCAGGGGACGCACGGGTCAAAGACGAGGCGGGCAATGTACTCCTTGGGCATGCGGGGCAGCTGGTGGGAGAAGACATTCTGCAGCCCCACGAGCCAGAGCAACACGCGCCGATTGGCCTTGGGCATCAGTGAGTTGCCAATGACGTGGAACTCGATGATGCCACGGCGTTCCTCTAGGCGGGCTGTCTCGTCCCGGGCTGCGTTGGCTGACAGC